ATAGATGGCTCACCTTTGGCCTATGTATTCTCATGTGAAAGCCACTTCAGCAAAACTCAGGAGTCCAATTCAGCTTTGCTGTAACTGGTCATGACTCTCTTGACTTCAGCAATGCTTCATATGCTTACACCAGGTCTGAATTTATCCCTATGGCTTCTCGGTCACTAATCCTCCCTTCCAACTCAGAAACTGCCTGCATAATAAAAGTGATTCATTAGAAACCACTGGGTTCCAAAGTAGGGTGAACACTGAGACCTATAACTTTTTGATATGTGCTCAGTCATAAAAATGAATTTATATGGTCTTATTCCATAAAATCACTTTACAAATATTAGACCCGCAACCATACTTCCGTAAGCTTGTCAAAGCTCATAAGTTAAGCAAGGTCAGAATTGGTCAATATTTGGATGAGAATCTCCGGGGGGGAAGGAAAAAAAAGAAAAGTATATACTCTGGAGGTCCTGCAGTGTTTTTAAGTTAGGGCATAATGTACTTCCCTTTAGAAGGATTTGGTATTAGTCTTAGAATACAACAAAATGTTGTATTTGCTTTAGCAATAGTTTGGACTCCGGCCACGTCTGTGCTGCATCTTGGCTGCTTCAGATAACATCCTTTCCCAGAGATGAATGTGATGTAGCAGCTGAAGTCGTCTCCCCCCGCTCCCCGCCCCCTTCAACCCAGGAGGTAGATCTACCAACAAATGCCTCCTCTGCTACCCATCACCCTCTCCCTGAGGGGGTTTGTTGCTACTTCTGCTATTTCTGCATTTTCTATGCTCTATCTGGCAAAATAAACCTAGGAAATACATCTTTATACCCAAGAAAATACACTCTCCCCTCCCTACCTTCTCCCATAAATAGCTTCCTCTGAGTATCTCATGCTGTCCCCCTTTTGAGCTTTTCCTTCAGGCAGCTCCGTCCCTCTCCCTGGTGCACACAATGTATTGCTGAAGTGCCTTTAACCTTTTCTTGTACTGCAGGAGCTTATATATAAAAGGAGCTACACCTTGTGAAAGTACGCTGTGGGTAGAGCAGTACATAGTCACAAAAGGTACCTAAATTACTGAAGGTGGTAAGAAAAAGTCAGCGCTATACAGTGACTTTCTGAGAAACAGCTTAGTCACGCATCTGAGGTAACAATACATGGATGCAGCAGGGAATTGCAAACCTACCTGGCTTTTCCTAACGCCGGGGCACACAGCCGCCAGCGTGAACGCTCTT